GCGTGCCCGCGCTGGTGGCAGATGAGGGCGCGGGAGCTCTCGAAGGCCTTGCTGCAGATGAAGCAGACAAAGAGAGCGTCCTGCAGATTCTCCTGCACAAAGTCCTCGGGGTGCTCCCGCTTCATGTGCCGCTCCTTGAACTTCTCGTCCGGGAAGGTGATCAGGCAGTGGAAGCACTGGTTGGAACCCAGGCGATCTGGGAGGAAGAGGGGGAAGGAGAGCTCAGGGCTCCTTGCTGCAGATGAAGCAGACAAAGAGAGCGTCCTGCAGATTCTCCTGCACAAAGTCCTCGGGGTGCTCCCGCTTCATGTGCCGCTCCTTGAACTTCTCGTCCGGGAAGGTGATCAGGCAGTGGAAGCACTGGTTGGAACCCAGGCGATCTGGGAGGAAGAGGGGGAAGGAGAGCTCAGGGCTCCAGCCCGGGCTGACCCTCCCACCCCCACAGCCCCCAGGCCAGAACGGGCTCCACCCCCCCACAGCCCCCCGGCCAGCCCGGGCTCCCCAAGCCACCTGCCTGCCCCCACTGCGGGGATCCCAAAGTCCTTCTGAACGGCATAACCTGGTGTTGAGGAGGTGGGGCAGGGCTGGGAGCCCTTCCATTGAGGGGATCGGAGAGCTGAGGTGCAGCCCCCCAAAGGAAGGGCTGGGAGCCCGTTGAAACAGAGACAGGCAATGGCCGTGACTAGTCCTGGTACTTACAGACGGGGCTGCTGCTGCCTGAGGCCTTGACCTTTCCCTCGGGGCTGGGCTGGGCAGGTTCGTCCTCCACGCAGATGGGCTCCGAGTCAGAGCTGGGGTGCCGCGTCCGGGAGGGGGCCGCCTCCTGCTTGGCAGGGAGCGTGGGCCGCGCTGGGGTCTCCTGGGAGAGCGCTTCAGCCAGGGGCTGCTTCTCTGCGGTGACTTCAGACATCTTCCCTCTGCGAGGGGAGGGGAGTTGTGTGTGTGCATGGCCCTGCCCCCGATCAGACCCATATCCCCCTTCCTCCCTCCCCATCAGACCCACAGGCTCCTCTAGGCCCCTGTCCAGCAAGCACCTCTGCTCCCACCAGCCTGGTCTCCCCTTCCTGGGCACACCCC